GAAACAAATGGGAAACAAATGGGAAACAAATGGGAAACAAATTGGAAACAAATGGGAAACAAATGGGAACAAAACAGGAAAATTTCAACGCTCACATAGTTGTGAGCATCAATTTTTGCCCCTGTGAGTGTGATGACCAGGGGAAGAAGGAGGCATAAACACCAAGCTCTGTGTAGCCTAAATCATACGAGGTATATATCTACTTAAGTATTTATATGTCTATATGGAAAAATGTGCTACAAGATTTTGAGTTTCTTTCAATGAGAAGCCAAGCCTGACACAGATGACTTACACTTTGAGCTAAGGAGACATGAAGTGATCAATTTCTCATTGGATTTTCAGAGGCTCCAATGACTTTTCTATTGAACCATTTGATCTTATCAAAACAAAGTTGTCCAAAGTTCTTGATCTCAAGTTGTCTATTCACTCTTGTTTGTGTCCAAAGGGTTCCCTTGAGTGAAATTGGCTTTTTCTTCTGTTGCAAAACACATTAGGCATCTTGTTTGGACATATAAGCCCAATTCAAAGTTTTGTGTTTGGTTACATTGTAGTCCAGTAAGGACCCTGGAATACACCCACGGAGGGTATTTGCAAAAAAAGTGACCTTTTGTTGACGTGGTTTTTCAGTACTAAACTGCACTTCATCAAGACCTACAGGAGCGCAAAAAATGCACCAGAATGAAGGCTTTCAAATGCACTAGCTCACGGCCTGGTAGCACCAATATTACCTAAGATATATCAATGTAACACCCAAAAAAGGGCCAAAAATTGAGGATCGGTTTTTGGCCTTGGAGGTCAAAAAAACATTGTGCCATTGTGATTTACGCCGCCGTGAGACACAATGCCGGGCTCTGTCTGATCTCATCTGATAGGCCTACCCCATGCGCATCTTTTGAAGTGCTCTGCAGCTTCATAGAGGTACTGATGCGTAGTGTAGAGGTAAAAAACTGAAAATCATGCTCCGTCAGTACCCTCCGTGGGTGTATTCCAGGGTCCTGTCTAGTAGTAATGGATGGTAGAATGGCAACATCATTTAGTGGATTTTGAAAATCATTGTATGCATTTGCATGATTTTGTTGCAGATTAAGGCAAGTATGTGCGCAAGGTGAGGATAAGATAAATTGAGCCTTGGCAACTCAGCAAAAAAATTAATGTATCTCCTGCCTCCCAATCAATGGACAAATAAATTATTTCTCTGAACAAAGATTTCATCACTGAGTCCACAATGATAATGAATCTGTTTTACATGCACTTTCACATCACCCATGTTGTGGTACAACCTCAAGAATGCTGCACAGGGGCAAAAAAAGATGCTCACATAGGGGTGAGTGTTGATATTTTTGTGTTTTTTTCATTTTTTTTTTCAATTTTACTTACCTTTTCTTTCCTATTTCTTTCTGCTTGTCAGCTGATTACGTGATCAACAGGAACTGACAAGATAAACTAAGCCTACTTCAGGCTTTATTCCTCAGCAAAGAAGTCTGAGGAAGGGTTGATCCATCTGCTCAGCTGATCCTAAGTGGCATTCATTCCCTGGTTCAATAGGCTCCAAGGGATGCCACTAATGTTTAGCTTAGGGTCTGAGCTGAACTGAGTATCCCCTTGGACGGGTCACATACGGTGTGGTGATCAATTTATGGGATCAATTAAAAAATTCACAATTACCAGTTTACCAGTTTATTAGCAGGATTCAGCAGGAAAGAAAATTTGAAATGGAGGTTTTTGATTGATTGAAGCTCTTGTAGGCTTATGTATTGGTCATTAGGTCAACATTACATTGTTTTATTTCACATTATACATTAAGATCATTATAGTTTATTTACAAACTTATTACAAAAAGAAAGAAAGAAAAACATAAGAAAAATTTGAAAATATAGGTACATAGGTTGGAAAATGGTTTTTAGGTTAGTAAAAATAAAGTTATGGGTATTATGAGATTAGAATATGAAAGAACAACATTATATTATACTATGACAATTTTAATCTTCAAGGTTGATAAGTAGAAACAAAAGTTATTAGGGAAAAGGTACTTTTTCGAAGTTGGTAAACAAGAGGTACACGTGTAGTTTGGTTGTGTAATAGTGGTAGTGATGGAATTTAAGGTTGCCAAGAGGATTTTCCGGGATTTTTAAGGTTATAGATGATGATGTCATATTACATGAGCAAGAAAAAGAGAGTAGCAGCTGTGGAAAGTGGAGAAAATAGGTGAAATTCGTGGAAAATGGAGGTTTTCAGCTAATTACATATGTCACACGACGTCAGAATAGGTTGGTAGATGGCTCATTCAACGCAGAAGAGTGGATTACATAATGTACAAACTTTAAATCATTAGTAACGGAGGTGTGTGTAAAAAGTTATAAGGCAAATAAAGAATTGGTGTGAATCTCGAATTTACAGTCACAAGTCAACATGTAATGCTCAAAACCTTAACTTCACAACTCAATATCTTACTCATCACTCATCAGAAGTAGGTCATGTAGGTGTCAGAAATGATCAGTAACACGTGGGCTACAAGATGCACTTTAGTAATCAAAAATTGGAGCACATCTGAAAAAATTCGTAATCTCAAAAATTGGGTTTCAGCTAGTTTACAAGGAAAAAATCACCTGTATTCATCATAAGAAGTGCTGTACATCATATTATTGCGTCATTGATCACTTTTAGCTGTGAAAATTACATCATTTATTAGTAACAAAATCATTACATTGCGTCATCATAGGGTTTTTAGGGAATTTTGGGCGGATTTGATTGGTTTTGAGGTTGTTGACCATTGTAAAAGTTCTAGTACATTGTTATATATACTTTGAGAGGGTTTTGGGACTGTTGTTCCCCTTTTTTTTTCTTTATCATTTACACCATTATTATTTTGTTTATCATCATAAACTTATTTTAATAGTACCTGGTCACTTAAATACGCCCTTTATTACAGCTATAAAGAGAAATTTACTTTAGTATTATAGTCATAAAGACTTATTTGGGAATAATATCAATCAGATATTGCTTATTTTCTTTAGTTATCAATTGGGAATAACACTATAGCAGTGTTGATAGTAATACAAAGTGTGCTTTTGAAGTTAAAATACGTGTGAAGATATATTTCTCTGGTGCCTTATCAGTACTCAATACAACAGAACTCTTTCTGATTGTGTTGTTTTAGAAGAGCAGTCCTTAGACAACTTCTACTAGTCATTATATTAGTAGATTATCCTCTTCCAGCTCTGTATATCCCTTGTTGGGTTATAAGTTCTACAACGGCCAGCCTTGCCTCAGGCTTCAAGGCTCCAGAATGAAGCCTGAGGCCCATCTGCTCAGTTGACCAAAGCTGCTCAGCTATTCCTCAGTGGTGTTCCTGAGAGCAGAAAGATCCAAAGGATTCCACTGCTAATTGGCTCATTAGGGGAGGCTCAGCTAGTCCTCAGGGGCATTCCTGGGATCAGAACAATGCAAAAGATGTCACTGAGTATTGGCTGAGGGGCTGCTCAGTTGATCTCAGCCCCTCAGTGGAACAGCTTTATCCAGGGGACATCACTTAGGATTAGCTGAGCGGCTGAGATAAACTGAGCAGATGGGATGGCTCTTTTATCAGGCATCATGCCTTAGCAAGGAAGTCTGGGGAAAGTCTGGCCCATCAGTGAACCAGCCGGAGGATTCCACTGAGTATTTGGCAAGCAGCTCAAATGGGACAGCCCCTGTGCAGGCTTCTTCACTAAGAAATGAAGCCTGAGAAGGTATAGTTCATGTGCTCATTTTCATCTTGAACAAATTGCTGAGTATTTAGTGACTCATGAGCTGATCCTGAGTGCTCATCTGGAATCAGTTATTGCTGGTCCAAGATGGAAATGAGCCTTCTTGAGAAATGTCAAGCAAAATATGAGCAAAACAGGCTGATCACCTAAACACAACCAAAATTGTGAATTGAATGAATCTGAAAGAAAATGAATCTTTTTTGGAGACTTCAAAAAAGTCTACAATGCTCACATACATGTGAGCATCACTTTTGGCCCCTGTGAAGGGGGCATGTTTTGTCAGCCCTGGGTACATACACATGTACCCAAAGACTAACTTGTAAATATAAATATTATTCATAAAACCCAAATACATGTACATATATCTTAGAAAAATATGTAACATGTAATAAGATATGTATAAAACACTAATTACATATATACGTAATCAAGAACTAATATGTAACATATAAGATTACATACAAAAAACAATAGTAACATCTCATAACTCAGTATCAAGAGTTAAAAATGCTTATATAGCATAAAACACTTAATGACTACTGAACATAACATTAAGTGTAAGTAATTATACAAATAATAAAAATAATAACTATAAACCTAATATTGTAACACTTGTGTATATCACAATATTAGGTTTAAAGAGCTGAATATATAAACCCAAACTCAGTTCATCCTCAGGGAAGAAACCAAGTTTATACATACCCATTTCTAAAGAACCATCAAGAGTTCCAATAGAATAAAGATCAAGAGTATTACAAATAGTAATACTAGTGATTCATTCTATACTACCTTGATTATTCCAGACTAGATCCAAGTAAGTTATATACTTCCCTTCTGGATCCTCTACTTCCCCTAAGTAGTTTCTGTACTAGGTTGGTGACCTCTGAGATAATAACCAATAGGTTGGTGACCTCCAAGATAATAACCAAACAGGTTGGTGACCTCTAAGAGATAACCAAGATAGTGATCTTCATAATCACTCTTTATCCAATTACCAAGAAGGATATTGGAGAACATTGGGATCCTGTTCTCATCCCTTAATTAATTGTAAATCAAATCTCTTCTTTAAGAGTCAACTAACTGTAGTCTGCCAGGATTTGTCCTAGCAGACTCTTAGTTGTTTCCCCTTCTACTACTCTCCTCCTACCCATATCATCTCTCTATCTTTTCTTCCTCTACTCTTGTAACTAGTTATACTCTGAAATATAATAATATTATTATACTTCACCAAATACCTAGTCCCAATACTGCCATTTAGTGAGTGTAGCCTCCCTTTAGAGAGTCACTACCCTCACATGTTTCCCCAACAATGTCTACGCCCAAGCCACACTCTACACAATAATACTTTTCAGCCAAGGTGTCAACAGGTTTGACCAAATCCCCTTCAGCCAATATGATTTTTTTGCTCTTCATGCTGTGAGTCATCAAGCCAAAAACATGATTTGATACAAATGCCACAAAGATTGCTGTGCCAATGCTGAGATTCATGATGATGTCTACCTGGGTGACCAAGTCTTCAATACGGAAAATTGTGAAGGTGATTTTGTTGAATGTTTCAAGACTTACTGTGATGCTGCAGCCACAGAATTTGATTGGTTTCTTGCAGAAAGCAGTGATATCTAGGCCAATCAAAAGGGTAAAGTAAGGTACCATAAAGTATGAGCTTGGTTCATGTCGTGAAAGAGATTCTACAATTGGCAGATGAAAATTGTAGGGAAACATACCCAGGTGAGTGTGTAGGTTAGAAAAATAATTCAGTAGGATGATTGGATTGGGAACAAATCATTAGCCAATCAGTTGACCTTTTATACATGTTGAAGACTGCCTGAGTCGCTGAACGTTAGACTCTTCCTGATCATTGCATCACTCTCTGCAGAGTTGTATCATGTTGGATTTCAACATGTGAACTCATGCCTTGCATGGTGGGAAAGCTGCTTTCAGGCTTGTTTAATACATGTCCTTGACACTTCTAGTCTCCGCTTGTTTCACATTTTGAGATGTACAGATTAAGTTTCTAATTGTGCAGAAGCTGATTGTTGTGCAACAAGTATGCCCGTTGATTCTTTGCCACATGTTTTTGCATTCCATTGAGATTGCTTATATTGATTGGTCTTTGGAGTTTCCGGTGCTGCACCTCAAAAGTCTCATGGTCAGTGGAATGCATAGAGGAAAGCCATCACCGCTGCTACAACAATCAAACACTTATGTACATGGATTGGTTGACTTGTCTGTGATCAAGATGATCAGGTTTTGGATGCAAGAATAGAACAACAAATTGACATAATGATAGACAGAGTATATCAGTTTAATATGTACACAACCTATATGCAATCATCAACCTTACCTGCAACTGTGCATGACCATCCGCACTGTGCATGATGCTCCATGCACTCTATGTTTGTGTAGGGGGCTGTAATCAAAAAATTATGTACACGTACCAGTGTGGTGACCAATTCATAGGACTGATCAAGAAAATAAAATCACAGCATCAGTAGTTGATTTGGTAGTTTCAAGGCAAAAAATGTGTTTTTCATATTTTTTTATTCTATTCTTTGGTTTCCATCCAAACCCCCATTGATTAATAGATCCAGAAATCAAATAAGTGACTGTTATGCAGCTGATATTCATGAAAAACTATCCACATCTCTGAACAGGTTCAAGGCTTGACTCACAGAACATTGATATGGGATTTGACTGATTGAACTTCTTGTGCCTCACAAGAGATATATAACAATGGCACTGGTAAATTTGTGTGCAGGATTAAATGTGATGAAGCTTGCATATCTGCTGTTCACATTCACATCAAAATCAAAAGCAGGATAACGAGAAAAACCAAATTCAGATGGTTTCACACCTCTTACCGTATTCATTCACAACTTCATGGATGGGAGAATGGCAACATTATTTAGTGGATAGTGAAAATCATTGTATACATTGCATGATTTTGTTATGGATTAGAGCAAGTATGTGCACAAGGTGGGGATAGGGTAAAATGGCCCTTCACAACTCACCAAACAAAATTCATGTATCTCCTGCCTCCCAATTAATGGATCACAAAAGTATTGCTCTGAAAAATGATTTGATCACTGATTCCACAATGATAATGAATCTGTTTTACATGTGATATCACACCACCCATGTTGTGGTACAACTTCAAGAATGCTTGCCACATCTTTCCCCAATGATTGCAGAAAGGCAACATTTTAAACAAGAAAACTTTTCAGCTGAGTCATCAATGGGTTTGACCAAAGCCCCATCAGCCAATATGATTTTTTTGCTCTTCATGGTGGGAGTCATTAAACCAAAAACATGATTTGATGCAAATGCCACAAAGATTGCTGTGCCAATGCTGAGCTTCATGATGATGTCTAATTGGGTGACCCAGTTTTAGATGCGAAAAACTGTGAAGGTGATTTGGTTGGATGTTTCAAGACTCACTGGGATGCTAAAGCCACAGAATTTGATTGGGTTCTGGAAAAAATCAATTGTCTCTAGGCCAATCAAAAGGGTAAAGTAAGGTACCATAAAGTATGAGCTTGGTTCATATTTTCAAAAAAATTCTACAATTGGCTGATGAAGATTGTAGGGAAACATACCCGGGAAAGTGTACAGGTTAGGCAAAGAATTCAGTAGGATGATTGGATTGGGAACAAATCATTAGCCAATCAGTTGACCTTTTATACTTGTTGAAGACCACCTGAGTTGCGGACTGTTAGACTCTTCCTGCTCATTGAATCACTTTCTGCAGAGTTGTATCATTTTGGCTTTCAACATATGACCTCAAGCCTTGTATTGTGGATAAGCTGGTTTCAGGCTTCTCTGATGAATGTCTTTGACACTTCTAGTCTTTTCTTGCTTCACATTTTGGTATGCACAGATCAAGTTTCTTATCATGAAGAAGCTGATTGTTGTGTAACAAGTATGCCCATTGATTCTTTGCCACATGTTTTTTGATTTCCACTCAGATTGCTTAAATTGATTGGTCTTTGGAGTCTCCTTTGCTGCACATCAAACATCCCATGGTCAGTGAAATGCATAGAGGAAAGCCAGCACCACTGCTACAACAATCAAACACTTATGCCGACTTGTCTGTGATCAAGATTATCAGGTTTTGGATGCAATCAGAGAACAGGAAATTTTTATCATGATAGACAGAGTATATCAGTTCTTGATAACATGTACACAAACTTTATGCAATCATCAACCTTACCTGTGACTGTGTGTGACCATCCCCATTGTGCATGAGGCATCATGCACTCTCCATTTGTGTAAGGGGGCTGTCATCAAATAATTATGTAGATGTGCTGGTTGATGTGTGTCAACCTCAAGGGTAGGGTCATGTACCCCTCAGGAATACAAGTTGAAACACTCACCATGAAAGAATAATTCAATGACATGATAACCAAAAAAACTCCTTTATCATGTTTCAAAAGCTATGATGTGTTTTGAAGCATCCACATCTAAAAATCGTGTTGATTTGTTCTGTCCAGAATTTTGTTCACCAAACAAATCAAAATCCTGTGATGGAATTGTGACAGAATTTCAGTTGAGTACAAAATGTATACATGCGTGCTGGAATTATTACACAGCTAAGCTAATGATTCTGATTATTTTTGCAAGATCTGACAAGAAAATTTGCAATGGCTGACCCACCTTGTTTGTAGCATTCCGGACAAATGATGATGTGCCTGGGCCATGATCTATTCAATTACCAGGAGGATTGGTTTAAGTCCTTGGTGGCAAGCCACCACATTATCCTGAAGGGTCTTTATAAAGAGATTACAGTATTGGAGTTGATTAAGAATTAGATCAGACTTCAGTCTTATGAGGAGACTGGTGTATGATCAAATGAGAAGTCACAATCTGGAATAAGAGATTGTGAGAAACACTATTGTTAAGTTTGATGAGGAAAGAACAACAAGTGAGAGAAAGAGTTGCTCTTATAAAAGGAATCCTCAATACAATAGGTGACATCATGATGTTGAAAAGAAAACTACACAGGAATGCGCTTTTAGGCATCATGCCAACCAATGGACAACACTACACAACATTCAATTTCTATAACATGATCTTCTTTTTCTCTCTTTCCATATCACCATTTGATTATTTCAACATATCTCCTCTTTGTTTTCAAAATATCAGAGTCTTTGAGTACCAAAATCCATGTCTTGATCTCAAAGAAAGCAATTTTCATCCTGAATTTGTTAAAATCCAAAGACAACACCTCATTTGGTAAGATATTCAATTTCAGCAAGTTCTGAAAAACTGATCAAATCAATGATTTAAACCAAACAAATTTTCACTCAATCAATTGCATTGAGATTTTCCAAACCTCATCACAGAAAATGTAACATGATGAATAACTTACAGACTAATTTCTCAATCCTCTTGAATTTGATTTTCTAATGATTTTCCATCAGATGGCTAATCATATCAAAGAAATCCAATTATACCAAACCCATTTCGAATCTCAAGCTACAAATAAAACTACCATAGCTTAGACTGAGTTGAATGGAATGATGCAAATCAACAATGTGAATTGAATGACATCAATTGTAAGCTCAAACAATTGCCCAAAGCTATGTTTTGAAGAGGATCTGGTAAACCCCAGACCCAACGCAACTGATAGTTTAGGTGGTTATAATATTGACTGACTCTATGAATTCAGTGGTCATATGACCAACTTGCTCATCTGTCGAGCCTGTGAAAGATCGCCCCGATGTGTAAAATAGAGTACTCGAGCCTCACTGATCCGCATCGGTGCTCGGGTAGCCAAGTACACTTTGTTTTCTCAAGTCTTGTCTCAGCCTGACGCTTCTGACACTGCGGGAATCAACTTGTTTGAAACCCGATTGAGAGGAATTTCGGTGTCCGGGTTTGAAATTTCCTCGAATTGTGAATCTTGTTCACAACTCGTTTGCATTATGTTTGCCGATTTCCCTCGAGTACCCTAACATACAGGGCACTTGCAAAACCTGTGATTCCAACCGTTGGACTACATATCTCACCGCTCTTGATGTTCCCGCTGAACTGCTTTTTTTCGGTTGATTGAGGCCTGAAGAATGAGGATGAAGGTGAGGAATGGTGAAAGGGGATGTTGCTGTATGATGTGACTGTACATCCACGGGGCCAGCCGAGTACAGAGTACAGCCCGAGGGGAATCGGCAAACATAATGCAAACGAGTTGTGAACACAATTCACGATTTGAGGAAATTTCAAACCCGGACACCGAAATTAAGCTCAATCCGGTTTCAAACGAGTTGATTGCCGCAGTGTGACTCACAACAATCTCAACTTGATCAACAATTCAACAACCAACATTCATCGATCAAAATGTCTTCTTACAACGAAACCAAAACCCAACAAGAATCGAAACCAACCAATGAATCTCTTTGGGTTTTAGATCCATCAAGTGGTCTTTATTGGAACAGCTCGGCCTCTTTTCCCTTTTTTTAACATATAACTTATTCTTCTTTACGCAAGCTTCAGTCAAACTTACGAAACTCCCTATCTTTTTTTTCTCTTGTCTTCATCAAATCGACATTACCTATTAAAACCTACAACTTTTCAATACGAAATCTTGATGGAATTTTCTAAATATATCAGGCCATCAACGTATATGGGCAAGACCGGACGATCGTGAAATTGGAGGTTGGAAGTATGTAGACGAAGAAGGAAATCCAGTTGAATCAACTTCTTTAGAATCAGAAACACATAGCCATTCACGTGTAAGAGTACAATATGAAGACGTATCAGATGGAGAAGATGGAGAAGTACAAGCTAGCTCGAATGAAATTAACCAATCTAAAACAGAAACCTCAGAACCGATAAAAGTCCCATCATTACGTTTAAGAGTTATCAAACCACATCGAACCAAATCTATCTTAGAATTCAAAACGATTTTAATTTTAAATGAAACTCAAAGTCCCATCACTATAGGTAGAGATCGAAGATTCGATTCAAGTTTAAGAATTAAAGAGATGGAAGTATCTAAAACTCATCTTACATTATTTTCAAATACAATACCAGAGGAAGAAGAAGGTCAAGGTTGGTATATTGTAGATAATGGAAGTACACTTGGAACTTTTCTTTCTTTTGCAATTCATGATGATAAGTTGAAACCGATCAGATTGTCTGAAACGAAACAAGCTAGCAAACCTTTTAGATTATCTCACCTTGAGTAAGTGATCTTTTGAATTTGATTCAGAGTTTCCATTCGAGATATCTTGCTCATCATCCTCTCTTGATCCATTTTCGAAGTCAAATTTCCATCTCTTCACCGACCACTCCCATCGTTTCATTCGAAGTTCATCTACATCCAAAGTTTCCATCATCGTGTGAATCATGTGCACTTTTATCAGATGAAAGTAATCGATTAAGACTCAGTACCGATCCCAGCACCGATTCTCGAATGAGCACCACCACCACTTTGAAAACCAAAGATGAAGAAGAAGATTATGCAATGACACCACAAGATGCCAAAGCGAACCGAGAAAAGAAACGAAAGACAGAGATGTCAAGACTACGAAGTCAATTCTGTGGGGGACCATATGATCGACCGGCCCAGAAAGCTACTCGAGCCAATCTTGAAACCCAAACAGAAGACAAGCTTTTGATCGAAACTGATTTAGAAAGTCGACCTGTTCCAGCAAAGTATATAGACCGAGCCAAATTACGTAGACAAACGAACCCAGCTCGAGGACCGTCGCGTAATGAACGAGCTTCACAGCAATCTGATCCCAACCCACCTAAACCAGAAGAAAAGATCGACCCGTTCAACGCTGAATCCAAAGGAGCCATCTTATTATCCAAAATGGGAGGAGAAAGAGATCAAAGCAAAATGGGAAGAATCATAGAAGCCAAAACAATAGGCATCAATCAAGCTGGATTAGGTAGTAAATCATTGATTGTGGGAGTCGAAAGTTTAAATGAACAACAACAATCTAGTAATGGTGCTCAAAGTGATTGGAGAGAAAAAGCTCGTGAAGCTAGTTGGAAAAGGTATCATGGTGTTTGAAACTTCAAACAGAATGTTTTGTTTTGATCACCATATGGGTTTTTTATGCATTTGATTATGTGATTTTTTCAGGTTGATTGGTTTTGCTGTTGAATTACATCACAGAGTTTGAATTGGTAAGGTTTGAATTGAAGTGTAGTGTATTATGATTTTGGAGTGAGTGGTGTATGATTTGGAGGATGATTGTTATGAATTGTTGATTTTTTTTGAATTTGTGTAAAATATGTTTTGTTAAAGAAGTTCTTACTACTACCTACCTTAGGTCTTGATTATTTTTTGATTGCTTTTTGATTTTTTTCATTATTTTTAGTAGATTCAGAAGGTTATCAAAACTTTGTTGAAGATTTGTTTTTTTGAGTTTGTTTTCAAACTGTCAAGTTCTTTATTGTCAAGGTTAAAGGGACCTGTGATATGTATACAAGAGGATCAAAGATGATGATCCAGAGTTTGAAGATTTACACATCATTCTTGGTTCAGGGTTGATTAAAATGTAGTTTTTGATAATGTAGTGTTTTGATGATGCTTTTACAGTTCATACCAGATCAGCTTTCGATTTAGTTGATCAAGTGAACAGTTTGAATTAGCACTAAGTCAATTGGCTTTGAGAGGAGAGATGGATGATGGGATGGATTGGTATTTGCTATGTAAATAGTAGGCTGTGTTTAAATTTAGTAATCAATCAAATCAGTTTAAACTGAGATTCATGTCCACACCCACCAGTGCCATACTTTGAGACTACTCTAGTGTGTGTGAGTATGAGTACATAACAACTTCTAACTTAACAACCAAATCAAACTCAAACAAAATTCCAAGTTCTGAATCTTTTGACCCCTTTTACTAGGAGTTGCTAATGTGTTATTATAAAAATGGGAATGAGGATAGATGTTGGGCTTTTGTACATGTGTAAAATACTGACACAGGTTGAACTTTTTTCATTATTAATATTACCACAGCTATGATGTCATCAATGTTTAAGTAACTGTTAAGGCTCAGGGTTGGGTCTTTGGGACTGGAGTGAGGAATCCTGATACTGTCTAGTCCTATTATGAGATTGTCGTATGAAGGAAAAGGAACAACATCTAGCTAGTGGTGTGTATACAATATAGTGTTCAATCTGTGATATGTATGTGTTAGACCTTTCACAGACGGACTCGTAACATTATCCCGCCTTTAATGCCCAAGCTCCCTTTTGCAAGCTCTGCAATCTCCCCCCCGGGCAGCGTTAAAAAACCACTTGGGAAAAAGCTTAGCCCTCTCACATTCTTCTCCGTGCCTTTTTCTTCTTTTCAGTGTTAGGAAATCGCTTCTTGAATTCTTTTAATAAATCTTTACAATTCTTGAGGTTTGATTCTGGTTCCCACGAGTCATGGCTTGAATTAAATCCTGTCCAATTCACTAAATACTCCTTCCTGTTTCTTCTTACTCTACAATCCAATATTGCTGAGACTTCCCATTCATCTTCACCTTCAATTTCAATTGCTGGTCTCTTGTCCTGTACCCGTTGTTCAATTGTATCTGGATTGTGCTTGCGTAAAAGTGAAACGTGAAAAGTATTATGTATCCCCTTCATAGAGAGTGGAAAGGTTAGCGCGTAAGCAGTGCTTGAGATTACTTTACTGATATTGAAAGGACCAAGCCATCGATGTCCTAATTTGGGGCTTGGTCTTGTGGTCGTAATATTTTTCGAATCTAACCAAACTTCATCTCCCTCTTTCCATTTTGGGTTTTGTCGTACATGCTTGTCGAATTGGTGCTTCATTGATTCCTGTGCTAATTCTAAACAAACTGTCAGTTCTTTTTGAACGTCCTGAATCAGTTTTAGTCGTTCTTCTACTAAAGGGATGCATTGTTCTGACGACGGAATTAGGTTAAACATTGGATTGAATCCGTAGTTGGCCTTAAAAGGCGATACTCCTATTGACTTGTGGTCCCGGTTGTTGTACGCGAATTCTGCCGTTGGAAGCAGTGCTTCCCAATTTTCCTGTCTGTAGTCAACAAAATGTCGTAAGTAAGCTTCAATTGCTTTATTCACTATCTCCGATTGACCATCAGTTCGAGGGTGGTACGCTGTTGAAGGATGTAGTTTAATACCCAATCTCCTATCCAATTGTTGAGTGATTTTGGATACGAAGATGCTGCCTCTATCCAATACTATACTCTTTGGTGTACCGTGTAACTTCCACACGTTGTTGATCATCAAATCCGCTAATTCTTCTGCCTTCATGGTTTCTTTACAGGGGATAAAATGAGCCATTTTAGTAAGTTGATCCACCACGGTGAGTATACTATCGTATCCGTTGGAGGTTGGCAGTTTTGTGATCAAGTCATATGATATGTCGGTCCAAGGCCCAGCCGGTATTGGTAGTGGTTGTAAGGTTCCAGATGGTTTCTGCGTCGAAGATTTGATTCGTAAACAGGAATCGCATCCATCTACGTACCGGTTGACGTAAGCTTTCTGTGAAGGCCAGGTAAAACACCGTTTTGTGAGACTGAGCGTTTTATTCCGTCCTGGGTGTCCTGCTAGGAGTGTATCGTGTCGGCTTTGTAATATGTTGAACTTGACGTTGTCATCATTTGGTACTTCTACTTTGCCGTGTCTGTATAAGATTCCATCCTTCACTTCGTACATCCGTGTGAGTTTCTTCATATTGGCAGATATGGGATTTGTGACTGATTCCATGAGCGTTGTAATTCGTTTGTCTGTTGGGTTGGCTTCTCGTATCAATTCTAAAATCTTGATGTCACTCAGCACTCCGTCGGTCTCCTCTGACTCGGCTTCGATGTCTGAGCATCCCATCACGTCAATTTCGAACCACTTCTCGGCATCTTCTAAGTCAATTGATTCGTCTAAGAAGAATGAGTCAATGTTAGCTGAATCGGTGGTAAATGTATCAGGTCCAATGTTTTCGGGTTTCAGTAGGTGTCCAAATGTTAGTCTTTCAGCCTCTGAAGGCTTAAGATCAGGCCTCCAAGATAGTGCATCGGGTTTATCAGATTTCCGTCCTGGTCAAAATTTAATAACGAAGTCGAAGCAGCCAAGTGTTTCTGCCCATCTTGCTTGTCGGCGAGTGAGTTGTTTGGTAGTCATGAAGGTTTCCAAATTTCGGTGATCCGTGTACACTATCACTTCGAGTCGGTTTGGGTTGCCCTCAAGGTAGTGGCGCCATTCCTTGAAAGATGCTGCAATTGCCAATAGCTCTTTGTCAAAGATTTCGTAATTTCTTTCTGCCTGTACCAGTGACCGTGATAGATAAGCCACTGGGTGAATTTCGCCATCGTCATCCAATCTCTGTGAAAGTATAGCGCCTAGCGCGAAATCAGAGCAATCGCATTCTAGTATGAAGGGCCTGTAGGGATCCGCGATTTTTAGAATGGGTGCTGACGTGAATGCAGTCTTGAGTTTTTCGAAAGAGGTTTCGTAGGCGCTATTCCAAACATAAGGTTTGTTGAGCTTTGTCAAGTCATGAAGTGGTTGTGTTGTCTTAGAGAATTGGTCTATAAACCTCCTGTAAAAGTTAGCAAAGCCAATGAACCGTTGGAGTTTGTTTGTGTTCTTAGGAGCTGGCCAATCCTTCACCGCTTTCACTTTTGCGGGGTCCATCTTGACTTTGTTCTTTGAAATTAAGAGGCCAAGGTATTCAACTTCAGATTTTGAGAACTAGCATTTTTCGGGTTTGAGCCAAAGCTGATGTTTGTCGAATATGTCCAACATGCTGTCAACCGCGCTTTCGTGGTGAACTCCCTTCTTCGTATAGATCATCGTATCATCGAGATACGCAGCAGTGTCCTTGCCTATTCGTCCTACCATGATGTCTTGAATGAAAAACTGAAAGTACCCAGGGGCTCCTGTAGGTCCAAACGGCATCGTTAAGGGCGCGAACTGTCCTTGTTTGCAGATCAATGCCAGTATGTCTTCGGATTCTTCCTCGACGCGTAGGTTACCATATGCATTGCGCATATCTAGTTTGGTGAACCGATCCGCATCTAGCAGGCTATCAACTAGGTCCATCATCAGAGGCAGTGGATATCGGTTCTTCACCGTCAAAGCATTCAGTCTTTGGTAGTCGAAACATGGGCGTAGATTGCCGTCTTTTTTTCCGGTGAAAAGCACTGGCGCGGCCCATGGGGATGTTGTCCTCCTGATGGTGCCGTTGTCTAAACCTGTCTTGATCATTTCGTCTAGGACCGTCTCCTCTGCCGGTGATAGGGGAATGATCCTACCGGCTTGAGGTTGTGCACCTGGCACCAAATCCACACGGAAATCATACTTGCGTCTAGGAGGTAGGCATTGGGCCTTTGACTTCTGAAAGAGATGGAGGTGACGATGGTAATACGTCGGTACCATTTCCTCGACGGTCTTGGCAGGTATTTTTGCCTTCTCATCCGCAGCTATTCTGGCCAAAGTCGACCACAAGGTTTTAGCCGTATCGATGATAAGGGGCCTGTTTTGGAAATGTAAGGGCTGGCCAGCTGTTTCTATGGCATGGGGGATTAAACCGTGATTGAACTCACATTGCGGGGGCTGATGCACATCAATTTTGATAGCGTCCCCCTCGTCACATTTCCTAGCGTGCCCTTGCGGCTCCAATCCTGGCTCGACAAGGGATTTTTTCGGATTGGACAAAGCTGTCGCAACAGCTGCATAGGACAAACTTGAAGGGCCACTTGGGTCATTTGGACAATTCACGATGTTCGATGTTCGAATACGGTCAATCTGTGATATAGGAGGAGATACTGGCTTGCCAGCTGCTTCAACAGAAGGGATTATGGGCTGGGGCGGACTCACACTGCGGGGATGCTAATGTATCAGAAATGGTACACATCCCCTCGTCACTGTGCCTAGCGTCCCTCGTGGGCTCAACTTTGTGACCAAACGGGGTTGTGTGTGGCGTAGACGAAGCTGATGAATCAGCTGCAGCGTGCTCCTGAGTCTCATCAATCTGTGGGTTGGACTGTTGAAGGTTTTTGATAACATGAATGGGGTTGTTGAGGGTAGTTGTTGTCGGTAGCGTTTGAGGGGTCGTTGGGATCTGTGAATTTCGGGGAGTATAAAGCTTGCTAGCTGTTTTGGTGAACATCTGGGGAATGGTCATATCGTACTCACATTGTGGGGGCTGATGCATATCAATTGTGACAGCGGCCCCCTCGTCAAAGTTCCTAGCGTCCCTCCTGGGCTCCAGACCTTGGGCTTGCGAGGGTGGTTGCGGAGTTGACGAAACTGCAGATGCAGTTGCAATGTTGTGGTGATACGAGCTGACTGTACCTGTCTGCCAATTTATGCGTCGGTGGTTCTTCTTGATCCATGGAATGCCGAGAATTCCGTCATATGAGTCTTTGATACGCGTGATGATAAAATGGGTCGGTTCGGTGTCATGGTCCAGAAATAGGTTGGTTTCAAAAGAGGTGTGGCTTCTTGAACCGTCGAATCCTGTCACGACTCGCGTTGCACACACTGTGTGGTTGATAAGACCAGTCTTTTGGGCAAAAGTCGCACTCAGCACGTCGTGCGTGGCACCTGAGTCGATAAGAAAGTTAGGAAATAAGGGATTGGTTGATGTGGCGCGTGGGTAATGGGATGTTGATAATGAACATTGGAGGAAAACACGTGGATCGTTTGCATTGCACGTTAAGATTCTACTTGCACCAAGTTCAATTTCAGCTATTACCCCACAATTGCTCAGGATAGGCACATCGCTCAGGCCTGAGCACTGCCATTTTTTGACGATTCAGCACAACTAGTTGTAGTAATCACATCTCCATCGCTTTTACTTCCTAACGCACTTAGTTTAAATTCTAATTCCGCGATACGGGCTTTATAACCTCCTCTATCCTTTCCTTTATCAGTTCTTCTACTAGAGCATTCATTCGCCCGATGACCCTGTTGATTACATTTAAAGCATAAACCGGATCTCATGCGCCTGGCCTTCTCCTCTTCTGACAACCAAACAAAACCTGAAGATACGTCCATAGCATTAGGGTCGGGTGTGTGAAATGTGACCGTGGACGAGTTGGCTACACCGTGTATCTTGCTGTCAATCTTAATAGCCATGTTTGCAATCTGTTCAATGCTACTGAACTCTTCTTGCATCATAGCCATAGCCACCCGGATTTCTCTTTTCAATCCTTGTTCGTATTGACTGACAAGTGTAGAGGTTTCCCAACCCGTGGCTGACGCGTGAATGTTAAACTCGTGAGTATAGGCTGCTACTGACGTCTTCTGCGTAAGCGTTCTGATGGCTCGCTCTGCCTTTGACTTCTTTTCGGAGTCGAAGTACATTGCTTTAAAGTTGGTCACGAAGCGATTGAAGGTGACAGTGTGGCTCGTGTTGGCGTCAAAAAGTTCAAGGGTGAGGGGCTGGGCCCAGCTGCTTGCGGCACCGGTTAAGTAGGAAAGAGCAAACACGACTTTGCTACGGTCGTTGGTAAACAAATAAGGGTGGGCTAGCATATAAAGCTGAATCTGGCTGGCAAAAACTTCAGCCGGCCCGCCCCTAGTCCCATTAAATTTATCCGGGACAGAGACCTTTGGTCCTCTAGGGGTAGCAGCGGGCATCGCAGGTTGCGCGGCAGTCTCGAAAGCAGGTTCGGAGGTCTGAGCAGGGGTTTGACAACCCTGTGCCAGCAACGCAACGCACCGCAACACGAGTGTTTTTTGGTGCGTTGCTCCGCAACACGCAGCACAAACCTGCATTACATGCTGCGCTGCGGTAAGTACCGCAACAACAAAAGGTGAGGTCAGGTTGCGCGGCGCCTTGACCGTCGCGCAATGCAACAGGCGCAACAGCGCCAAAAAAACGCCGAACTGTGATTTTTTTTGGGCAGCAACGCAACAAATGTTGTTGCGGCCCAAAAAATCCATCGATTTGACAAATGATGTTGCGCTGCGGGTCAGGCCGCAACCTAGAATTTGATTCTATGTTGCGCTGCGGTCAGAAAAACCGCAATGCAGGCGCAGCGCAACACGCAACACCTGCGTTGCTGGCCCAGGGTTGGGTTTGAGGTGCCTGGTTGGCTGCGTCAGTGGTCTGGGTTGCCTCAATTGCAGCGAGCCTGGCCTCGGCATTCAACATTTAAACTTCAGCCTCAAGGCGTAGTCGACGTTCTTCCTGGACCGAATTTGTGAGTTCAGTCAGTTGACGTTGTAATTCTTCCATCAGATCGGGGTTAACGCGGCTAGATGGTTCAGTGATGATGAGTGTTCCGGTAAATTCGTCGGCGTCTACAAACAGAGTGGGCGTTTCGGGTTCGGAATCGTCTTCCCCGTGACTGGGTGATCTAAATGTGGGCAATGTGATGCAGGTGTTCAATTAAGTAAGCAAATAAGGTTGCGGGGGGATCTTGCGGCAATGATATGCAGTCTAAATCTTGAATTTCTTTCTAATTCTAATCTTAGTTCTGATTCTAATCTTGTTTTTCTTTCTTCTAAACGTTCGTTCTTCTTTTCGATTCTTGCAATTTATGTCCTCAGTCCGTCGATAGAGATACGACAATATGTTAAGGCTCAGGGTTGGGTCTTTGGGACTGGAGTGAGGAATCCTGATACTGTCTAGTCCTTTTATGAGATTGTTGTATGAAGGAAAAGGAACAACATCTAGCTAGTGGTGTGTATACAATATAGTGTTCAATCTGTGATATGTATGTGTTAGACCTTTCACAGACGGACTCGTAACAGTAACTTTCTTTGAAGGGTATAGTCTCTGTGAGTTTTAATAATTGTTGTTTCATTATCAAAAATGTATTTACTATGTTCAAAACAAGTTATTTATTATGTTCAAGACAAGCTTTTATCAAGATTTTTTCATAATTTTTTATGCATCTGCCAGCCACCCCATAGGGTAACTTCTCTTTATGAAGCAATATTATCACCCTAGGCTTTCAGCCTTGGAATTTGCCCAAACCATTCAAATTTCCTTGATTTTGTACTAAGTTTTCGTAAGTTGATACATCCATGTTTCTTACTTACCAATCCACTTTATCTACAGAACTTCATTAAACTTTTTCATATCACTAAATTGTAAGTACCTTCTCCCTAATCCCATCTCATCATCCTTTCTACTCTTGTCATCATTGTCTTCTTCAACCTAACAGTCAAACCAAACCAATCATCTCAACCAATGTCAGCAGACAATTACTGAAACATCCAATTTAGGTACTGGTATGGGGGTCTTGGGGGGTATTGCCGGCTTTGGTGTCTATGGAGCATTTGGTTCAGTCCTTGGATATTTGATTTGGTGGTTTTTGGTTTATGATATGAGAGCTTGGTTGGTGTTTGAGGATGTTTTTGATGTCTGTCTTTGACTATCAGTGTCCAGGATTTGGTTTGCAAGGATTGTTTGGCTAGGGCATAGAAAGGGCAGCTCAAGAACAAAATTTGGTTTGGCAGGGGGGAGTGTAGTACAGAATAGCCTTTAGCTACTGATGCACCCCTTTGGCTGTTCTCCTTCTTGCCTTCTAGACTTCTATGATTGTATTTCTTCCTGTCTTTTTGCCATCAGGCATTTTGAGAATAAGGGTTGGGCAAAAAACCAACCAACCAGTTTCTGAGTCCATTGAGTTGTGATTTGATTCTTTAGGAATGCTGAGGAATGCTCTTCATCAATTGCTAAATCAAAGCCAGCTACAAAAACTGGTTGTTTGCTTTGCTTTGCAACAACAATCACTAGAATTAGACCAGTGAGAGGTGTTCTTGATACATCCAAAGCCTACCCAATTCAAAAACCAAAAGCAATTTGCACAACTGCAAGCCACACAAACAACACTTTTCCACCTTTCACAAATCTATGGCTACAACACTTCTATCAAAACTTACCCAGGCACCACCTAGGCTGTTAGGAATGGGACTCAAGAGTGAGAAGCAAGAAAGCCTGGAGGGTGTCCTGGAGTTGGTGATTAGGTCCAGGTTGGGACTTAGTTAAGTTTGGGAGGGTCTTCAGTCTAACTAGATAGATAGATTGCTAAGTGAGGACTGATGCCTACTGCTCACAAGCACCTCGACTATGCTTGAGGCACAAATCACATATATGTAAGTACAAGTGTCACACCAATGGGATCATAAACCCACTCCCCCCAGTATGTCTCAATCCCCTCTTGTGGATTAGCAACTTTCCATGGGTGGCGTTAAGAAACCCCTCAGGTAAAAAGCCATATACAGAATTATGATTTCAGTCCCAGACCCCATACAAATCCCAATCCTCACCATGAACCCCAATCTCCACCATGCGACCCGGTCCCGTACATATATCCCTCAGGCTCTACTTCGTATGTGCTAACAATACCAGTGTCAAGCGGTATCTCATCCTCATCATTATAAAAATCCACATTAAAAACTATCTCAATTGAATATCCTTGACACAAGTCAGTTATACCTTCAACCGCTCTACGAAAGGAAAAACTATGACTATTGATCTCCAACTTTTTCAGGTTAGGCCAAAGTCGATCACTGATTAAATTTTCCAAATCTCGACGTTCCTGAAGTGGATAGTTACCCGAGGAAAGCCATGAAAGTTGTTTCGAGTTTTGGAAAGCTCTTGAGAATGCAATGGGTGATTTACTTATGATTTCTAAATTGGTCAGTTCAGGCAATCCAAATCGAAATGTATTATCTTCAAAGATGTACCGATTCCAAGTATCTTGCTCATAACCCAAAGCCTCAACAAATGTAAGTGTCTTCAAGGTTGCTTTGAAAAGTTCAAGAAAGCCATTTAAGCCTGATAATGAGACTCGATCACAGCCTTCCAATGATAATGCCTTCAACGAGCTTTTCCAATCAAGTTGAATCCAGCTGGCATCAAAGCATTTTGCGTCTTTCAACTCCAATTCAACAAGATCAGTAAGCAACGCGAGATGAATTCCAAGTGGAGATCGGCAAGTTTGTTGGTTATCCAAAGGCTTCGGATGAGTGGCATCGATACTCGAACAAGCAAAACTCTGGAGTTGAGACAGGTCAGAGAGAATCTCTGCTAAGAAGTCCTCTGCGTAAGGTGGTCGTGGAGAAGGAGATGATATTGAAAGGTGAGTAAGGGATTTAAGTTGAGAGATAGATTTAATAGATGACATTGAAATCTTATTCGCCGTTGTAGAGCTTTGCCAGTTTAGGAAGTAGAACACATCCCGACTTGTAGCATGTAGGTGAGGCTCTGGATCAAGATCGATGTCGATATTGGTAAGATGAGGAGAAGTTTCCAAGATTTCGATTAAAAGGTCGGTTCGCGACTTGGGATTCCCATCTGGCTCATTACAATGTGAGAATCTTGACCGGATTTTATCTGGCTCATTAGGATATGAGAATCTTGACCGGATTTCTCTGAAATGCTCTGAATGTCTTTTGATGATTCCTTGAAATAGCAGCTTTAATTTGTCTGCCGCAAATCCTTGAAAATCGATACACTGGAACAGAGATCGAAATTGTCCCATTGGTTACTGAATCATGAGAATAACATAATGATACGGAAAAGACATTACCTGGAAAAGATAAGGAGAGAACATTTGATTGAATGAACGATTGACTGAAGCAAGTGATCGTATATCGTTCAATGGAAGACCTTTGAAAGTGCAAGAACGTGTCGTGATGTCAGCCCAGTAGATAAAAGACCGCTGTACAGGCGGGCTTAGCAAAAAGCTTCAAACATCTTTTTTGGCCGCATCACTCAGACTGCCAATGATGTTAGGCTATGAGAACATGTAGAAAACAATTTTGAACAAATTTCATTGCAAGGTAAAGTGTGGTTTATTTGTGAGGAAAGCGGGAAAGATCAAAAATCGACTTAAGAGGACTTAACGCTTAGAGTCACCACGCCAGAAGTTCACTATTAGTCATAAGCCCCCCTGCGAGGGCGCGGACGCGGCCGCGCAGAGAAGGGCTTTGTTAAGCTGAGAGCATCTCCTATCGTTCGAGTAAATTTTCTGTAAATTTTCTGTACATACTGACTCGGTACGGTATCACTTGATACAGAACGGTGGAAATCCACTATCGTTGCATTATATCAAACAAAGTACAGTACATACTGTACAGAAACACCTCATTGCCACTATCGTATGTTCGGTAAAAAAAACTGCAAATCTCATGTTCTATCACGCAACAATCCATCCGAGCACAATCAGTTTGCAAAGACAATTGATTTCAGAACAATCACTTTGAAAACAAGATGATTGACTTCATAACAATTGACTTGAAAACAATCGAGCTGAAAACAATCGAGCTGAAATCAAACGAGCTGAAAACAAACGATTGAAAAAAGTCAATCAAAAAACGATCGATTAGAAAAAGATCAATTAGAAAAAGATCAATTAGAGAACAGCCAAGTTATCTATATGACCATTTGAAAACCATTGATCACAGAAAACGGAGAATTTACAAGATGAAATTGGTGTTTGATGGTGATACAGGTGTAGTGGGATAGAGTGGGACTGATTTGAGGATGAGTTGTAGGATTGGCTCGGTAGACGTCGAGCAGATTTGCAGATACCGACCTCTGCAGAATCGGTAGAGGTCCAGCAAATTTACTGGACCTCTACAGAATTTCTACAGATTCTGTGGGTACCGATGCATGATTTTGACACGATTGGGAGTTTTGACCCTCGGTACGGTAAAATTTACCGTACCGAAGCCGTTTACCGAGACGATAGGAGATGCTCTAAGGGTAGATCAGACTTTTGACTAACTTAACTAAGTCCCTCCTCAAAGCGCGCGCGTCCCGGGGGAGCTCGCGGAGGAGGGACTTACGACTTATCGGCAATCTTTGGCGTGATGCCAATTCCAAATTTGGAGTTTTCCGTGATATTTGGACAAAATTGACAATAGCGTCTAACTCACTCAATCAATCATGAGATATGAATAGACCAAACTGATCTCCTTCATCTTGTACATAAGCCTATGTGGTGATATGGTCTTGCTGATTTGGATGAGTGCTCTTGTGGTCGAGCAAACCAATGTAACTTATTGGATGCTCATTCTCATGACTGCGGTGAAATTCTGACAGACCAAACGTTTTGGACACTGAGAGAGTCTCTCTCTCTCTTTTCCCATAAAGAGAAAAATTGGCAGAGAGATGGAAAAAATTGCTGAGAAGAGACCTTGCGAGTGAGGTGGACAGCTTGTACCATTCAGATTCTTTAATTTTCAACGCAAGCAAATTACACAAATAGATCATTGTAATCCTGAAGGCTCTCTCTCTCATCGTGATTGTCTGATAATCAGCATGATGACCGAAATGCTCACTTCTGAATCTCCGCTAAAAAGGACACTTCACAGCGCCGACATCACCCATCCAGCTAAAAAGCGCGCGCTTCGTTCGTCGGGAAACCTCACGCCTCTGCCTGCTACCGCATTGACGAAACAAATTAGATCCAAAGTTGCTCTTTCACCCGAAATTTTAGCCTTGACAGACGACCAGCTGTCTAAGCTCATTGAGGATAATCATTTCAAGAAATACAAAACAAAAGCAAAAAAACTACAAGTTGAAGCAGTGGTGGCTTTGGTCAGAGGTCTTGACACATTTGTGTTGGCCGGTACAGGCTATGGAAAGACTCGAATTGCTGAGATGTTCATGGATCTGTTTCCCAAAAAAAAACACCCTGTATGTATCGTGATAAACCCCTTAGATGCCTTGGGTGACAATCAGGTATGTTCAATCCCAATCTTTCTCAAGTCCAAGGTGTTGATGTATGTTTTGCCTGTAGGTTGCTGAGAAAAAGAGATGGTCAATCAAGGGCGCGAATCTCACAAAGGAAAACATGTCAGAAGCGGTGGTTCTGAAGATTATGGCTGGGTTTTATAGTGTGATCTATGTTGTAAGTAGTATTCTTTAAAAATCACACATCTACAATGTCAGCTGATTATAGAACTCCACAGAGCCCCGAGATATTTCTAAATAACAAGCTCTTTGAGATATTATATTTCAGCACGTGGTTTCAGGACCACCTAGTTCTGAAGGTGATCAACGAAGCACACATGATATATTGGTGGGGGCTGGTGCAAAGTGGGTGAGCAAGCCAGTGTAATGCCTTCATGCGTCAACAGGACGGTGGTCAATTTCGGCCGTCTTATGGCAATCTCTGTCTTCGGTTCCTAGCAACAAATAAGATCCCACTTCTGATGATGTCCGTGACGTGTGCACCAGGACCCTTTTCTTCAATTCTATCAAGCTTGAGTATCAAAGAACGTAATCTCAAGATTGTGCAAGGGGAACTCAGTCGGTCCAACATTCGTATCATCCGCATCAAAATACCCTCAGGAACTGCGTTGACCAAAGCTTTACGAGCGCTTTATTCTAGGAAAGAATTTGTACCTGATAATCAACTGGTGAAGTCGCTGATCTACTCTGGATCAAGGAATGCCACAGGAACAGTGATGGAAGTGGTCAATGACGCTAGAGGAACTCCAAAAGGCGAGTGTGATCCTGATAGTACCTTGATTCGCAGGTATCACTCCTGTACTGGACGTAAAGAGAAGCTTCGGACAATTGAAGGGTATACCAAGGATGCCTTTCTGATCATTTCTTGTACCAATGCCCTTGGTCTGGGTCAGGATTGGCCTACAGTCATGAAAGTCATTGTCATGGGACGTATGGGCCTTCCCGAACTTGCTCAACTTTTTGGTCGGTGTGGACGGGGCAGCGGAACTGGACTAGCAATTCACCTTGTGGAAGCAAATCGGAGAAACAGAACTAATGATATTGATAATATTGACAATAAGAAAGAAATGAAAGATGACGACCTCATGGATGCCTTCGCTATAACACCTATATGTCTCAGGGTAGCTCTCTCTCTTGGAAACACGTGAGCTTTTCTTAGCCTTTGAAACTCTTGATATGTATCTAATCTTTTTGGTTTCTTGTGTGAAATACTCAGAATCGGTGTGATCCCTTTTAAAAAAAATGACCCACAAGTTCTTGCTGAACAAGCACGCGAAAAAGCTGCAGAGTTTCAAGATTGCAAGTGCTCTAATTGTGACTCAGAAGCTTCTGATATGCTAGTTCATAACATGCCCAGATTGACCAAGTCAAATTATTGTCAGGCAATGGAAGATGTTTTTAGTGTGGATGGCTTCTTAGATCCTAACACAGAAAAACTTGAAGAGAACATTGTGGATAGTAGCGTGAAAACAAAGGCTACTAAAAAGAGAAGTAATATTTTAGACAGTCGATTGGAGGAGCTCACAGATGAACTAGTATTCGAAGACGATTTATTTCACAAATACATATACGGAGATGACGATTACTGTTTCAGCTCAGACTATTTTGGACTCGATCGCGCCACAGATATAGTTCAATCTCTTGATGAAATTACCTGTGAGGAAGATATCAAAGCTGCAATGGGTGGTGATATCATAAAAGGAGGAGTAAAGGCAGTGTTTGAGTACATCAAACAATGGAAATGTCGAGATGAGGTGATTGATTATCGAAGAAGACAGGCTGAGGTGATCGAGAAAAAAAAGGAAGCCGCGGAGACTCGTGCACAGAAAGCGATCGATTTGAAGTTGAAGGCACCCATCCATCCGGAACTTGCTCGTACGCCAGCACCGATTAAACCTAAGACAAAGAAGAGGTCTTCTGAAAAGGTCAAGGCGGATAAAGAAGCATCTGCACTCAGAGCCGCGTACCACAAGCGATGCTTGCATTGGATGACCGTTGAAATGGTGCCAGTAACCGAACTAGATGCAAAGGAATTAGCTTACCAAAGGTCAGTAGAGCTCCTCAGTGATCCATCTCACAAGCTCTTCATCGACTTCCCCAAACTCTTCACGCTGTTCAACTTCCTGATCTGCTTCTTCTGCTTCTTTGACTCCCGATGGTTCATAGTTTGATGAAAGGGGCCAGTGGAAACGTTCCAGGCGACATTTGACATAATCATCTTGCAGTTTGTGAATGCCTAGGAGATTGACGTCCAAAATCGAACCACTGGCGATGATTGATTTTGCTTTTGATTCACTGATGCGTTCAATTTTAGCCATGTTCAAGAATCACATTAAGGAGGCTGCAGTTGATTTGTTCTTGTGTGACTGTCGAACTTGATTTTGACCGGCTCGACCTTTCATTTGTTCCACTAAAAATGTGAGCTAATAAAAAACGATTGTTAGTTAGTTTGGCAGACGATTCCAAACTTCATAGAATGCTTGTGACAATGTGAAATGAAACATTTACTAGACCAATGGTAAGAGAGAAAGTCTCTTTCAAACGCTGGATATCTGTTCCAGGACCCTGCAGTAAAAATGAGACAAGATTCAGTTGGATAAACCCTAGCTAGGTGTCATGTATATCTACATACCGCGTTATTGTAGAAATACTTCAGCCAGTAGTTCTGGACCTCGAGGAAAAAATCTTTTGCAACAAAATGGCCTGGTCGGCCTGTAGGTGAGATCAAGAGCGAATGCATGATAACTTGAGCTAAAGGTTTGGGAAGCACTTTTGTAAGAAGACGGATCAATCGAGGAAGATATCGCGAGTAATGGGTCAGGCCCTTAAGGCCTTGAGTCATAACACTCCACCTCTTCCACATGAGGAGCAACCGACCAATATCACCATCGGACATAGCCCTATTGGCTTCAACAACTGTTGCAAAGTCTCGGATTCGAAGGAGAAACTGCTGCTGCTTGTTATCTTCATTTAATCTTGCGTTTAGCAAAGCCCGTCCAGAAAAATAGGTGGTGTATACGTTTTCCACAGTGAGATTAAAGGTCTCCACTGTCATTTCGATTTGTTCTTGAACAGTACCTACAGTGAGTCCAAGTAGTTTGCTTACACAGAAAAAGAATGTGGTATATGAGTCAAGGCTTGACGCACTGCCAACATATTTGACTCGGACAGCAAAATCCGAGGAGTCCTCGGATGTTGTGTCCGAGATTTCAACCGAGTTATGCCAACCGAAATAATATCGACTTGTTCAGACCGACTTAATCAGACTGAGTTAACCATCCGATCATCAACCAACCCTATCCCAAACCGACATATCATCCAACTGAATCCAACCGACGATTCTCCGACTTGATCACCGAGTAAATCCCTTCTTCCGAACCAACATCAGCGAGCCAAAAATTGACCGATGATTTTGATTTTCGAGGTATGACGATTAGGAAACCAACCTTTAGTTGAATCCCATGGTTAGTTACCTCGGAAGCATTAGTTTTACACGACTTGATGCCCTTTTCAACCGAGGTTTTATAGCTCAAATCCGACCTATCTACCAACCCAATCCATCTCTCCACCGATCCGACTGTACCCTACACCTCACCGAGATCACCTTTTGAAGATGTATATAAGCCAAAATCCAAATATCAATACCACGACAAAACAATTTCAAAGAACTCACCAATCCTGCAGTGCCAACAATCAAAGCCAGTTTAGGTGAATTTGATCATGGTTTAAGTGAGTTTTTTGATTATGATACCTTTTAATTTATGTCTCACACTTAAGCCTTGATAGTTAACAGTCTATCTCTTGATTCGATTATAGGTTTATTCATTTTGAAAACAGACCAATCACTCTACGCTCTTTTCCACACTTCAATCAATCTTCAACCACATCTAGTGTAAGTTTTTCACTATCAATCTTTTTGAGACATCTCTTGTATGGAAGCATTGATGAATAACAGTCTGTCTTTTGGTTTGCTTCTAGGTTGATTCATCTTACATACCAATCCAACACTTTCAAATCTTCCAAATCAAAAACTTCAATCAAACTGTGATCATTTCTAAGGTAGGTTATTCACTCTGACTTCTTTTGACCCATCATTTCTACTGAAGTATTAATAATAAATAGCTTTTCTTTTGATTCGCTTCTAGGTGAAATGACTTAAATGACTTTTGAAACAATCTCAAACCTTTCCAAACCTCAAAAACAAATACTGCAATCAATCCTCAACCATCTTTAATATACAGTAAGTTCTTCACTTGGACTATCAATTCATCTCTTATATTGAATTACTGATAATGAATGGCTTGTCAGTTGATTCGCTTCTAGGTCAATCCATTCTCATAACAAATTAAACCCTCTCCAAACTTGAAAAACACACACTTGAATCAATGTTCAACCATCTGTTTAGTAAGCTTTCAACTGTGACCACTGTCAATTGACTTCTTATGATTAGGTGTTAATCATTGTTTTTTTGTCTGCTGTTTCGCTTCTAGCCTCTTTCATCTTACAAACAAACACAACACTCCCCAAACTCCAAAAGCGAACACTTCAATCACTTTCCAACTATCTATGAAGTAAGTTGATCATTCTGACTTCTGTCCATTCATCTCTTATACTGAAGTTTTCATAAATACTATTCTGTCTGTTTATTTGATTATGGGTCAATGTATTTTACAAACAAACCAGCACCTTCTATACTTCAAAAGCAAGCATGTCAATTAATCTTCAACTGCAGTTAAAGGAAGTTTTTAATTTGAAGTATTGAAGGGAAGCTTTTCACTCTGGTTTCTTTTGATCTATCTTTTGTACAAAGTCTTGACTAGTAAATTACTGATGGGGATCACAGCCTCCAAATCATATTTTGCCTTGCTGAATTAGAGTTACCTGTTTGTATATTGAAATTGAAATCAAATTTGAATGTCAAAAATTATTACATGTTAATGAGGTGACAATCTATTGAAATAAGATATTCACTGTTGACCCAAAACGCATAGCATTTCAATTTTAAGACATGAAGGATTTGAGGCCTTAGGAACATGTGGAGGCAGCCACATGATGATTTGGAATATGTGCTATAGAGCCCTTGATTGATTGAACACCAACAGTGGTCTTTGCAGATGGTATGTATTGCATAGATTGTCAAGTTCTTATAAACACATACATCTGAATGCAGCCAGTACAAAAAGCAGACAAAGTATACAATGTACAGTAGATTTCATAAAGGTTGATATTGACTTGTTCTCAACATTCAGAGATGGTCCGTGCGCTCCACAGATATATTGTGACAGTTGTCCAACTTACCTGCCTGATCAAACAAAATAAACATAAATAAATGTGGTTGTCTAGACAAAAAGAGTGCCTCTTCAAAAGTGGTGTAGCTTCATCAGAGTCCAAGCTGTAGATTTGAGGCATACACTACATACACTACCTACACTATATACAATATATACAATATATACAATATACTAGCCATTTTTTGCGGCGGGCGCCGCCTTGCTGCGTTCTATGCTTTCTGGGGCTTTAAATTGTCTTCAATTTTATGAAATTCTATGCAAATCAATCAATGATTCTCCTCCACAGCCTCTACAAATAATTGTTACATTGTTCTTCCTTAGGTTAGTAAGACTTGCTTCAGCCCATGGATTTGGTTACACATGTAAGACAACAAATTTGATCAGCCAATTATATGATAGATCTTATGAAGATAGCATGAATTTTGTACTTGATTTTGGCCCATTATAACAGTTTTTGAACTAAAATGAACTGAAGATCTAGTCAATCCAATTCATCCAAACTGTAAATCAAATACATGCAAAACATCATCTTAACATAATAATCTTGGATTGATTTTGATTGCAATCCAATTAAAAATCTTAGTTGCTATTCTGATTGTGGTAATATTTTGATTCAGAATTTTGGTTCTTACATTTGGTCTTGAATCTTAATCAATGAAATCATGCTTTTGATTCCACTTTTGAGGATTCGTGGATCTTCTGATTCTATTATCCACCTTCTGTCAAATTCATAATTTCTGCTCTGCTTTCTTCAAAAATCATCAAGATTATAGGAAAATTCTGTTGACTCCATTGACACATCATTTCAGACAAAAAGCAAGAACAATTCATCATTGATTCAAAACAGGTATCACATGGAAAGGGACTCTTACTTTAAGTTTGAGGAAAAAGTTGCAATCCTTTTTCTTTGATAGATGTATCCAATCCAAGTGCTTTATAAATTGTATCTGCTCAGATTGGTTGAATTTATAATACTGGTGGTATGTTTCTTTCACTACACAAAATATAATATTTTCTGGGCAGAAAATTAAATTATTGATACACAAAAATATTGAGAGGCCAGGAGAAGGGCAAAAAATAAATAAAAATATGCATCTTGTTCCCTGCGGTGAGAGCTTCACTATCCATATTTTTCCATATTTTTACAGTCCGTATTGATAAGTGTACTAACAATAAACCTTCATAATCATCCAATTACAACCTGTAACAAGCACTGAAATTTGGCTCATTAGTGTTTAGAGAAACTTTTGATTTCTGAAAACACCTATACCTTTGTCAAATCTGCCTCAAAACACTCGATTTTAAGTGCATTGGAAAGCTGAACTCTTCCTCTCGAACTTTCATAAGATCAAGAACTATGTAGCTAGTATGACAATCATTCTATGGATCTGTATGTACAAATGTATAAACAAGATGATATCTTTTTTAGCAGACCAGCATGCTGTGTGGTCCTATTATGAACTATTTGGAGGACAATTCCAGCTTACCAATGCACCCAAAATCGAGCGTTTTGGACTGGAATTGAAAAAGTTATGAGTATTTTCAGAAATCAAAAGTTTCTCTAAACACTAATGAGCCAAATTTCAGTGCTTGTTACAGGTTGTAATTGCATGATTGTGAAGGTTTATTGTTAGTACACTTATCAATATGGACTGTAAAAATACGGAACAATATGCAGAGTGAAGTTCTCAACGCAGGGAACAAGATGCATATTTTTATTCATTTTTTGCTCTCCTCCTGGCCTCTCAATATTTTTGTGTATCAATAATTTAATTTTCTGCCCAGAAAATATTATCTTTCTTGTAGTGTTTGAATCTCTTTTCAACCATTCAAACAAAGCTGATAATTGAGTCTATGAAACAAAAATTCTTCAGGTGAACTATGTTGTGAGCCAAGTTTGGATTTGTTGATGACTTACCATTTCATCTAAATGACTATATCCATCCACATTCCTTCTTGAAGATCTTGTCTTCCTATTCCAATAGCAAATGAAGATCAATTGGATGGACTGGCTTTGATGTATGTACTGTATGTATTGTGTTTTCTATGTATTTACAGTACACAAGACATGTAAGGAGTATGTGATATGCATGGTATATCCATGGTGTATTGTTAAAAAGGCTTGGGATTCCGTTTTGAAAAAAAGATAAACACATGAAGTTGTAGTGTTTTGTTTTTCAAGAGTCTTTGCTCTTTTTGTATTGGAATCTTCTATGCATTGTATGCATTATACTATTATTCATATTAAAGGCGAACAAGCAATTCAAACAAAACCTGAAAAAATACGCCATTAGCCCCGTTTTTAGGTTTTGTACATGTGTCAGAAACTATTTTGTGACAATCAACAGCTCAATTTGTGCTTCACTTGCAATTCCAATCTTCTATCAACCGCGGTCCACCTCATTTTTTACATTCAAGCCTAGCCCACCCTCTTGATACACCCGATGATGCTCTATACGCCTCTGAGTCTTCAGATTCATCTCATCATCCACTAATTCCATGAAGATCTCAACTCACAACATGGAATGCTACCCGGCATCCTCTGTAAGGAAAATTGTGGTGCTGTATTCCAGCCGTCCAAGCTTTCATAAGAACCTTATAGCAAATGATCATAACCAGTGAAGAACTTTATACTAACCATTGAAAATGTTTTGATCAGAACTCATATCAGAGATCACCACATTTGGAACGTTATATCAATCTGACCACGTGGAAATCCAGGATGAACCATGCCGTGATGTGCGACAGCAGGATCACAATCAGATGACTGCATCTTCAGAGAAGGCTATGAAACTTGGACCTCAAAAATGAGTGCATGGGGATCCTTATGCTCAAACATTTGACTCATTTATGAATGGCCTCAAACAATATGTTTGATTATACAACTCCAACACACCGTCATCAGTGATCAAACCAACCGTCTGAATCCAATCACCCACTCCAAAACAGACAATGTATCAAAAATCTATCATTCCGACCGATCTCTTTGAAGACTTCTTCAAGATCTCAAAACACCTTGCAATGTATCAATCCTTTCAAAATCAAATCACAACACCCAAATCAATCGGATAATTCAATTTCAGATTCAAATTCAAGAAAATTTAATTACTCCATCACGAAGGCCAATCAAGATGATGCAAACCAGTCTTTTCACTTCAATGAGCACTTTGGAACCTTTGTTATATTTTCAAATTGATTGTTTTGCTCGTGATAAACAAATACACAGTGAGTGTTCAGTATATCATGATTACAATCATTAGTTGACTTCCATTTCTTCCATCTCGTCTCATTCAAATTGATGATAATCAACTATTCACATCTGATATCAAAGAAAATAGTGATTGTCTTGCATCCCTTCCAACACCAATTGAAATGGATTGATTCAAATGCTTCAAATTTGACCCATCATCATCATCATCATCAACATGACCAAAATTCAAGTTTTGGTCTATCACACTATCAACTTCGCATTCAACCCAATCTGTCATTTTCAAATTACAAATGACCTTTAGATCTTGGTCATATATTGATACAATCCAATCAATTGTTGGTATGCCGATTGATCCATTCATACCAATTGATGGAAAATTGAAAAATCGAAATTTAATTCAACCTCAAATAACATCATTCCATCTCATTACAACTAGCAAATTATCAAAACCGATTAAGATTCAATTTTGATACACTTCATGAACGAGTTAAGTTGAATTCAAAACTTACCAGGTTACTAATTATATTATTCCTATAGATTACAAACTCTTGAACCGATCTGAATAATTTGATCGATCCCTGTAAAACATTCAAGAACCTAAAAACAAAAATTTCACAGGTCAACTACAAAACCCGATTTCCAAAGCATCAAGTATACTAACATCACAATAAGATTGTTAAACCAACTTCAACATTGCCAAATTTGACAGAACTTATTGTCAGATCTTCAAGACTGAGCTGAATCAAGTCTAAATAATAGAAAAACCGAAGAAGTAGATGAAAGGATAGAAAAGTTTCAAATGATTTGGTTGGACTTATAAACAAATGTAGAAGTTTTAAATTAAGTGAATTCAAAAATAAACCAAACCTAAATATATTGGAATTATTTCATCAAAGTATTATTCATACAATCCAAATCATCTAAAAGTGCTTACCAAAAAACCCTCTCAAAATTTCTTAGTGGAAACTGATCAGAGAATACTAATTTTGAATTTGATGGTTTTTTCATCAGGAATTTAATTTTAGCACGCAAGGAAAAATTTCAATGGCCATTACCGATCAAAGATTCAATAAATTTTACCAACCAAAAATACACAAGAATTTTCAAATCAAATAAAACCATTTGTCAATTCCACACCAAGTCATTTGACTTTCTCTGTTTCCCTTACAAATTTACTTGGTTACTAAAATCTGTTTGCTTTTTTTTGTAACTATAGATTATAACCTATCTGTGAAATGAGTTATCATCTGGAAAACCAATTAATTTAATTGTAGAATGATTTGGTTACCATTACCTAATGTAATTTCTTGTAAACTATTGTAAAAGCCATTGAACTTAAGTGTAGGTCTCATTTTGATAGCCAAAGATGTACAAATTGATTAGATCTACAATAACCGGACATACAACACATACAAAACATACAATACCTACCAGACATAGAGGACCATACGGTACACATCCCCACACCTAGGATTTGTAATCATCGGGTTTGCAACAGGCCCCGGCCCCACCACTGCAGAACTTGAATGATTACGTAAACGACTTGGAGAGGACTGTACATACAGTACATACAGTACATAGATTACATACAGTTTAAGATGGTACATACAATACTTACCAGACATACAGGACCGTACAATACAATACAATACAATACAATACAATACAATACAATACAATACAATACAATACAATACAATACAATACAATACAATACAATACAATACAATACAAGACAAGACAAGACAATACAATACAATACAATACAAGACAAGACAAGACAAGACAAGACAAGACAATACAATACAATACAAGACAAGACAAGACAAGACAAGACAATACGATACAATATAATATGATAAAAGACAAGACAAGACTAGGGCTGTGACCCGGACCCGGCCCGGCCCGGCCAACTCTGCCCGACGACTTTCACGAAGCTGACGGTATGTGCCCCGGGGCATCCATATGCAGTTCAATACCGGTTAAATACGGCCCCGTGGGCGCTTCGGGCATCTTGGGCACCTGACCCGGCCGGGTTGCCAACCCTTTTTTCACCCAAAAAATGCCTTCACACTACTCTCTTACCGGCCCTGGTCGGCCCTGAGCAGTTCTCAGAGGCCATTGGGTTTGCTCAGGGCTCTATTCCGCCCCGGGGCCGGCCCTGAACTCACAGGGTCGGGTCACAGCCCTAGACAAGACAAGACAAGACAAGACACTGCGTCCATCACCTCCCTTCTCGACGTCGAGAAGGGTAGAATGGTCAGAGTTTGGTGCGAGAAAGGTTTTTTCAAAAAAATCGTTTCTTCCACTCATTCAAAACCTCAGCAACCCTAAGCAACCCTAAGCAGCCTAAGCTATTTGAAAACCTGGACAGCTCAGACCTGCGCATCACCATACCGCCTGATTTTATTCAACTGAACAATTCCCCCTTGGACCCCATTCAATCAATATTCCTCCAAAGGATGCATTCCAAACGAGATGATCAATAACCATCCTAGTAGTATCCCTTCACCCAATAATCAGAACAACAATCCTAGCTCAAGTACTTCACCTACTTTAACTTCTATCGATAGTAACAATTATCATGTGAACATCATTGCATTAGCATCTCCTGAAGCTGAACTTGGGCTTACCAATTTGATTTGCCCAGAAACTCAAAATGAGTCAACTCATATCTCCTTCTTCAACACTCGCACCTGGTCTTATCAACCATACTTCCAAAACTGGACCATACTCATCAAAAGCTAGTCGAAGTCTGATTTGAAAGCATCGAGAACTAGACCTTCCGTTTCCAACTAGAGTCTGCACCTCACACTTCAAGTTTGCTCAGCTAGTCTTTTAGAATCTGATCCACGAGATTGGAAGGTAAGCTTTAGGTTTTTTCTGATACCACTCTTTTTTCTTTTTTATTCGATCTGTACTTATCTACTTTCTTTTCTTCTTTAAAATCAAAATCAATATGATGTCCTGGGTATTTCTTCACTCAGATGGAGAGCTACTCCTGATCAAATCAAACGTGGCCATCGAAAGAAAGTCTTACGTCATCATCCTGATCAGAAAGCAGGACAAGCTGGTACTTCAAATGATGATAGCTTTTTCAAATGTATTGCTAAAGGTAATTCATCTAAACTTCATTTACACTTTTCAATAACTAAACTTATCGATCAATATGTTTTTCCACAGCCTACGAAGTTCTTTCTGACCCAGTCAAGAGAAGTCAATTTGATTCAGTTGATGAAATGATAGATGATACGGATCTTCCTTCTGATAAAGATATGGTTGCTAAACCTGAAAAGTTCTATAAAGCTTATGGTGCTGTATTCGAACGTGAAGGAAGGTTCAGTACCAAACTTCCTGTTCCTAGTCTTGGGGATGCAAATAGTACTCGAGATGAGGTAGAAGCTTTTTACGATTTTTGGCTCAAGTTTGATAGTTGGAGAAGCTTTGAATGGAAAGATAAAGATGCTAATGAAGGTTCTGATTCGTGAGTGTATTCCTTCTATGATGATTCCCAGACACCGATTGATAATCTTCTTGTCTCAATTTCCTGAACATCAGACGTACAGAGAAGCGTCATATTGAGAACAAGAACCGATCCGAGCGTGAAGGTCGAAAGAAAGAAGATAATGCTAGACATCGTGGGATTGTCAAAACCGCACTGGCTTTGGACCCTCATATGAAACGATTTAAAGCTGAAGAACGTCAAGCGCAAGAAGCTAAAAAGAAAAGAAACAATCCTACCAGTGGATCAGCCACACCTACTCTCTCAGCTACTGAAAAGAAAGAACAAGAAGAAGCCGAATTAAAAGCCAAAGCTGAACTCAAAGCAAAGGCAGCAGAAGAAAAATCTTCTAAAGAAGCAGCTAAGAAAGCTAAAGAAGCAGCTAAGAAGAATCTTAAGAAAGAAAAGAAGACGAGTCAATCTTTGATTACTGGTTTAAATTATTTCTTACCTGCTGGACAAAGTGCTACTCCTTCTATTATTGAAGGTTCATTGACCGATTTAGATACTTTAACAGCCGGATTAGAACCTGAGGATGTGACTGAGCTTAGAAAAGAAATGGAAAGTAAAGGTCAAGATAGGGATGCCGTCAAGGTTGTGGTTTGTAAATTCTCTAAACAAGTCTCTGACGCTGGCAAGGGTACTTTTTGTGAATTTGTTTGAATGGTTTGTTACCTAACTATGCTCATTGATCTGTTGATGTTTTGTTACCACATATGTAATGGTTCAACCTTATCTCAAGCAACTAGCAGGTGTTACAAAGTCTTATATTCATTGTCCCACACCGTAAAATTTCACGTGAATTTCAAAAATTTGGGACACCTTTTTAGGTGTCCTAAATTCTGTTGACCATATATTTGCAGAAAAAAATACTGTAAAAATTAAAAAACTTGTCCGTTTTTTAAAGAGTTTCACAAAACTTTTCTGACTTGAAACCCCCTAATATCAATTACTAGCAATGATGTTGTAAGTATTAGGGCCCGTTCGGCTGGATTTCAAAAAAGTCGATACACAAAAACAATTTTTCAATCTGCCCCTTTTTCAAGGGGCAGATTGAAAAACTTGAAATTTGGCTTTTTCGTTTACCAAACAGTCGACCAAAGCAGTCAACAAAAAATCGACATGGAGGGGCAAATGAGCCCAAAAACTCTTTTTGGTCTCAAAAACAGCCCTGAGGCTGTTTTTCAACAGTGAAGATTTTTTGATCAAATACCGTATTTGGGTATGGATCAAATACGGTTTCCGAACGCCGGTGTTCTTGGCAAAAGCCAAATACATTTTTGACCCAAATATTGTATTTGGCTTTGGTGGAGTATTTGGCCAAATACAATATTTGGAACCCAGCCAAACGGGCCCTCAGGTCGGTTCAAGAAGGGCTTTTACAGCCCTTTTTTATAATTTACATTTTGTTTGGGCTCCATAAATTTAAGTAAAATTTGAAGGTTGTGAACCACCTTTAGAGGTGGTTCACAATCTCAGCTCGAGACCTTATCCCCTGAAGATGGGTTTGTAGAGCTCTCTCTCCCTCTCTCTCTGTCCCGCCTTCACCAGTCAGACGTCTGACTGGTCCAGCCAGGCGCTTGTAAAGGTAAGTGCCTCTATTTCTTTTTAAATCTTTCTAGTCTGTTTCCCCATCCTGTCTACCTTCACACAAAGCAAGTGTTCCTTTTGAATGTAACTCATATAGGTTGATACTGTCAGTAGTCAAATTTTTAGAAGTGTGGCCAGGCAATGTGACTTCAAAGCTCATGCAACACATCTGGGTTATCAAGCTAGAATGCCCAAGTATCCTTGCAAGATGTGGTGGAATAGCCACTACATCAGTCACAAGCTTGCATGTGAGGCCCATGAGGTATGTTTCAAGTTCAATTTAAATTTATTTCATGGCCTACTACATACTACTTTTCCAATGAGCAAAGGGAATGTGATTTTGACACATGGGCAAGTCAACATTCCCACCAGTTGGTACTGTGACCATTGATAGACTTAAACCCCTATGGAACCTTATCATGGTACTTGCAAGTAATTCCTATCATAAGTAACCTTGAGCATCCGTTTTTAACCTCCAGACCATTTTGGGACTTAGTCAAGTTTGCGTCTTCAGCTGTCTTCAGTCCTGGTTGATAAATCAACTTCTCTCTCGATTTAAAAAAAGAGCACAGACCACATTTTGTTTCACTGATTACTACACCACACCTCGACAAGTCATTTATGATAACCTTCAACAGTAATATGAATAAATAGATATACCACACAGAACCCAAAACTGGACAAATGATTTTCAATAAGTAGTAGAAAACTAAATCTAATCAATCTCTTTTACAATAATGACAAAAGCATGTTAGTTATCCTAATAATAAGTTATATTAAATAAAGCCCTCCTTCTAGATACTTTCGGACTGTCCCTTTTATGACCTTCTCAAAAGTTGAGTTGTCTTACTCCTTTCAGCAATCACATCTAATACAGTCCTTCCCTCTGTAAGCTTAGGTGCAATAGGTTTATATTTTCTAGATGAAAGATGATTACTATTGTTTTTCTTCAAAGTGTCCATGTGATTATTGGTAGTCGGATTACTAGGAAATGAACGCAAGGCTTTTGCTTTCCAATTCTCTCTTGACTCTCTCATCAATTGCTCATTCTCTTCACGTAATCTGACATTTCTAGATAAAAAAATAGGTAAAGGATCAGTTAAAGAGAGTTTACCAATCCAATATGGTGATTTGATGACTTACTCAGCTTGTAAAAGACGACATTGATCCTCAAGTTCTTCAATATATTCTTTTTTCCTTTCTCTAACTGCTCTCATCCCTTCACGTTTCTTTTGCATAAATTCAGCTTTCTCATCTAATCCTAATGGTGCTTTAAGTCTTGGTTTCGGTCCAGGTTTAGCTCTAGGTAATCCATTCTTGTTCAACACAGGTACCGATGATGACTGAGGATAATGGTGGGTGGTAGTATAATCTGATTCGGCTAATGATTCGCATGGCAATCCATCGGTGATATACTCTACGGCTCGATCTGTAGGTGTTTTGGCAATAGCAGGTTGAATTGAACGTAAGGATGATGAGGCTGGATGTCAAAAAGATCTGGTAGGTGATCTACTCAGTTCTTGTTCGGACTGATATCTAGAATCATGAATGGTACGAGACACGCCAGGTTCACGTCTAGCTCGTTTAGGTGGAGGTGGTACAAATTCAGGTGAATCATCTGAATCTGGGAAATCAATCTTCACAAAGGGGATTCCACTGCCAGCCATCAATGCCGCAGTTAAAGGAGATGGTTTGTTGATAACGCGACTCAAATTGCTCGGCAGTGGTGCTGATGGGATCTGTTCGGCCGGCCAGGATGATCGAGAATAGGGTCGTGAAGGTTATGTAGTTGCATTTTGGTTCAAGTACATGTTCAACAAAGAGATATTAGAACTTTGAGATACAACGGATAAAGATGAAAAGAAATAAAAAGCCAGTGAGATAAGATAAAGGGGTACAACTACAAGAAAACATATGATTTATAAAAAAAACTTCAATAAGAAAGTATTTTGAGATTTGCAAAGAAAGGAATCTGATTGATTGGTTTAGGTATTCTTTTGATTGAGTCGATTTCATGAAGTATTTTTTAAGCGACGGTGATGAATCAAGTTGATGAATTTGAACTTGAGTTCATGTGTTGGTCAAAAGGGTTGGATCATAATAGAATGCCATAAACAAAACATGTAAGTGAGTATGAAGTTCTAAGGAACATCCTGAGGCTGAGAATCTATTGTCTGAGGAATTCCCTGAGGCTCAATGGCTTCTGATCAATCACTCATGCATCTCTCAGTCTATGCTGACTCCTGAGTGGGATACTCAGTAGTGGAACTAACCCGCAATAAAGTTGGAACAAAGTTGAACCAAATCAAGACATTCTACCCTTCTCGACGTCGAGAAGGGAGGTGGTGGACACAGTGAGACAATACAAGACAAGACAAGACAAGACAAGAGAAGAGAAGACAAGACAAGACAAGACAAGACAAGACAAAACAAGACAAGACAAGACAAGACAAGACAAGACAAGACAAGACAAGACAAGACAATAAAACATAAGATGCAACAATACAATACAATTCAATACAATACAATATAATATAACTAGCAAAATCAGCAGCGGGCGCCGCGTCATTGAATCATGTTTAATCAATCCAGTAATATGACAGCATTTTCATGTGAGCATTTAATTCATCCACCACCCACCCTAAAACCTTTGTCTACAAGCTCTCAAACAGCTTCAGGCGCGCACAGATCACACATTCAATCTCATATGACATACCAAACTCCCCAATACATAATCATAGCTCACAACCAAGCTCAAGTATTTTGACATACACAGCAGAGGACACTTGATATAAATTACTGCAGACACCAAATTGTCACCAATTTCAATTGCCTATGTAGACTATGCATTACAAACTTATGTAATCTTCTTGTCAGCTTACTTCACTGCTCCCTCTTGTGTGGGGTTGCTTGTGAGCACATCCACAAACTCATATTAGAAGCTGCACAGACTCACAACTTTTTACATTCAGAATCATGAATCATGAACAATACTCAGTAATATAGCAGTGCGAGTCTCTGAAATGACACATAACCTCTTGTGATAGAGAATTCGATATCAGAGAACTACTGATTTCAACTGATATATCCGAACCATGTATATCAGTGTTCTGAATCAATTAGTTCAGGAGAAAATGTAAATCCGTAGCTACAGTCAAAAGAATTCCAGTACATCTTTGTTTTCTTTTCAGCCTGAGCCCCAACCCAGAAAAAGATGGTAATGGCTGACCCACACACCGTACCAATATCCAATTCCCCCCGCCCCCAAAAACTACCCCAAATCAATCAAAAACCCGGCTCTCAGAAGCCCCCAACCCCTATCCCAAGTGGTTGAAACCTGTGGGAAGCCACAGGTCCCTGCAAATAAAATCAGGGGTTTGATGCCTATGTCCCCTGCCCCTGAACCCCAAGGGAGCATTGGTTCTAGTTCTCAGGCCAATTTGCTTTCTCTTTTCAAGTAAATAAAGACTGCCAAACATCCACAGTTTTAGATTCTACAAATTGAGTTTTCTTTGTAAGAATGGACTCTTTGTACTCCACTGCCTGCATATTTGGCTTGGAGACAAATGTCTGATCAGGGAGTCCTTGGATGGCGCCCCCAAGGGAAATGGAACCCAAGGGATAGTTCAGAGGCAAATTTCGGCCCTGGCCATTGCCTTGGATGGTGCTCCACTCAGAGTCAAAATCCAAGGGCTCTTCAGATTTTTGGCTCCAAGCCAAATATGCTGGCTGTGCTCAAAAAGTAAGATATTTTTCAAGATGCTTTGAAAGTAGAAAAAGAAGATCATAAAAGAAAGAATAGAGGATAAATCAAAAACATGTTTGGATTGTTTCATGAAAATCAAAGCAGTAATTTTAATGATTTATTTTGTTCAACCTATCCAAAGACTCTATCATAGAGGCATCTGATGTGTCAAAAATAATTTTGATCTGATCAAGGTACTTTTTGTTCTTGGTAGGAGATGTAAAGTTGAATGGATCATGACATCAAAAGTGAGTTGAGGCTTTGGATAAGTTCTTATATGAAGTCAAAACAATCTGATAAGAACCAGGAGTAATCAAAGGACAGCTTGCCAAAGGAACAGGTTCATTTTTAGGTTTAAGTACTTCATCATCTGCACAAAGATGTTCTCCCAGCAATTTCTATAAACTGAACAAAACTGAAACATTCAGTCATCACAAATAAATAAACAGAAAGAGAGATTGCCAAACATTCATGGTAAACATATGAGTTTGATTGTTAAAACTCGTCTTCAACTTTCCATCACATGAAACTTTTTCTTTATCTTTTGGATCTTGTAAGTTATTAGCTTTAATATATGCCCAAATCTTTTCAACTACTTGAGGACACAAACACTAATCAAGCAGTTGATTTGATGGATAGGGAATCAAATGAAGGCCCCATATTAGAATCAAGTCAGACTTCTCTGGATATACTAATTTGTTTAAATGTTTCAAGAATTGAATAAGATCCAAAGTTTACATACAGTAGAGACTCCAATCACATCACCTAGAGCAGTTGAACAATCAAGGTACTCATGAATTCCTTTATTCGAAGTATTAGGATCCAATTCAGATCCAGGAGGTCTAAGGGTTTTTTTGGTTTTTTTAGGTTTATGCCCATCATTAGTATTAGGATCATGATGTTTACTATCTACAAATGCTGCACTTTTTCTTTTTTGTTATGTGATTTTGTTGGTGTTGATTTAGTTGCTGATTTGGTCAACACTGCGCTTTGTGTTTTCAACATTTCATTTGCTCTCATCGCAATAAGATCTTGATCATTGGCTTTTGCTTTCTGATCTATCCGACCAAATCATCAACGCAGGAAATCCTCGGAAAATGATAGAATGAGATCACAAATGTCAAACTGATCATGTAGCCCCTTCAAGAGTTTTTTGTCGTGTTGAGCCAACTTCAATACTTTGTTGTGATTTTCAATGACTTCTTCTGCTTTCCTAAGATGAAGGAGATCAGAGAAAACACCATGAGCACCAAATCATATTTATGATGTTGTGTATCAAATGTGATGCTTACTTGAGCTGAGCCTGCAGACTCTCGACTAATTCAATCTCTTCATCAGTCGCCATAATTGTCTAAACCGACCTTATTCCCAACATCAGCTTCAAGTCGCACCTGGAGCCCCCTAACTTCAATCGCCCAAGTACTGATGCAATCCTGACAACTGTTAGCGAGCGTGCAAATTTGTGCGACTTGTTTTATCTCCTCTGCGTCTCTAGACCCCAGGTCATGTAATCTCTTGGTCGGACTTCTTCTCTGGTGGCTCTGATTTGTGTAACCTCCGCATCTTGGCTTGATAATTCCTTCTCCACATGGCCAATGCGACTTGTCATCTCAGTCTGACGATGGAAAGAAAAAAGTTTGCATAGATGTTAGGGCCCAAGTTGAGCAGTGAAGACATCTTGATTGAATGATGTAAAATCGACCCAGATCGCTGCTCCAAAGACATTTTGACAGTTTCTGAAGGCATCAGGTTCATTTTGCGCGTATTCCAGAAAGGTACACAAATGCGGCTATGTCAGAAAAAGCATTGAGGTTCAATGGGCTTTATTGTTTTGTTTGATCAATTTCCCATAGAATTTTATCATGAATGACTGATTTGGTGAAGGAGAATCGCACTGATCTTGAGGATAAACAAATATTAAGCATACTTGTGATGTACAGCACTCAATGGAACTAAAGATTGAATGAGATTTGATTTCAATTTGATCGATTGAATTACAAACCAAATGAGTGCTCTTGAATTTGATCGAACTGATTACGTCATTTAGTCGAATTTGTTCATCTTCATCTGATATACTTCAAGGTTTAGAGTAAGAGATTGATTTGTGTTGATGTAAATCCCAAGAGTAGGTGACCATTGAACATTGGGAAAGTTGTTGAAGTCAAGGTTGGAGCTGAAGCTGAAATTGTCACTTCCATAATCAATCGTTCGAATGTTTTATGATCGAGATTTGAATGATTGAAAAATCAGATTATGAAATCCTGAGAACATCGAGTTATGGATTGGATTTAAATCTGTGTAATGTCCTACAAAAACATAATAAAAAAACAAAACAATCAGTTAAGATGATTGAACAATTTTTTAACAGTTCGATCGAGGTCTGGAAAAGTTGAGAAAAACACAACTCAACTTGAATTCACCCAATCAGGATTTAACACAACTGTTGATTGTATTTGGAGTGTTATTATGACAAAAGTATTTGATAGCTGAAGTTTTTTTGATGTTGTTTGGTGTTCTTCATTTGAAGAGGATGAGTTGAGATACACCAACTTGAAGCCCAACTCCCACAGCCAATTCCAAACCTGTGATGAAAAAAAGTAAGAACTGATTTTCTTTCTCAAGCAGCAAGTTCTTCATCAGTGATACTAAAGAGATCATGTGGTAGTGAAAAAGATGAGTTGTGGTTGATAGTTGCAGGTTTGGTTGGACAATGAATGTCAGATCAATTGAAGTGTTGACATTGATGTTGATTTGTAGATGAAGATTTGAAGATGTCGGAGAAGAGGAAGCAGTAGTGGTTGATGTAGGTGAAGTTGAGATCGAGATTGGTTTGGTGATGGTTGGTGTTGTTGTTGTTCAGGTGAGTTCAGTTGGATTAGTTTCAATTGGTGTAACTGACTGATTGAATAAGATATTGATGGATGATGAAAATAAGATTGTATGGAATGATAAAGTAGAACAACTACCAATAAATTGGACTTGACAATTTCTTTGATTACCTTGATGTTTAGACCGGTTCATGTTTCTCTGATGTTTCTCTCTTGATGAACGTTCTGAGTGATTTAATGATTGATTATTTGAAGATATGATGTTTCGATCAGATTGTACATGGTCTTGGATTGGTTGAGATGAGGAGCTGATTGAGATTTGATAAAGAATGTAAGATTGGGGTAAGTTCCTGATTATAGCCAATGATTGAAGTTGAAGTTGAAGTGGGTTTAAGGATTGGATTGAATTGAGGTGATATGATTATGACGATGAGGTGAACGCGTGATCCGGGGATTTTACTCAAAGGACGCGTAAACCTCCAACTTGAAAGTGCTGATTAGGAGTTTTGTCCAGTTTTGCCGGCAAACACGGTTTGCCTTTAACTTGAATGATACAATACAATACAATACAATACAATACAATACAATTTGTACCATAATTTCTTGTATGGTACTGTAGGTACTGTACATGTTTTATGTCTGGTAGGTATTGTATGTACATATCTTTTGTATGTATTGTATGTTTTGTATGTCAGGTGATTGTATGACTGTATGTACTGTGTGTACTGGATGTCACCGTGTCTGTGTAGGCTTTGCTAGTGGACGAGCGCACACCAACTCCCTTTGAGGCAGAAAGGGAAGTCGTGCGCGCTTGTCGACGAGCAAACACTACCCGGACACGGTGTACTGTGTGTTTTGGGTGTTTGGTAGGTATTGTACGTGTGTGGAGAATCTTTACAAGCTATCAAGCTTACAGCAATTCACAGCAAACATAAGGTGATAAAGGTCCTCACTAATGGTACCATAGAACTACTAGTACTTCATATAGTACTAATTGTATTAATGGTACTGATGGTACTGTAGTACTCCATAGTACTATAGTACCATTATAACACCATGATTGGTCCCATTGGTATTATATTAGTTATCAGTAGTACTATAGTACTAATGTAGCACTAATGGTAGTACTATATGAACTACTATAGTATTGGGTACTACCATTAGTATTATCACTACCACTAGCACTGGCAGTACAATGGGTACTGATGGTAGTACTACAATTGGTACTGATATCACTGCCTGGTATACATCAAAGACCTTGACACCATTTTTAGGTAATTTCATTGAGACATCAAACGTCAATTAAGACAATACAGCAATATTTACAAAATTTAGGGCAACAGTAAGTGAAAAAGAGACATCAGAGTCAAGAATTATCAATTTATTCTGAATACAACTGTATGATCTTAGTTAATACTGTTGACCTAAATAGAAGATAGAAGACAGTAAGTAATACATAAAGAAGATACAACATTACAAGCAAAAAAACAACTCATAAGTCTGGAAAAGGAATAACATGTTTTTTGGTGAAAGTTTTTATTTTTATAGTACTACAGTCCATTCCCTAAATTGCTGTGATAGTTTTTGAAATGGATTCAGGGAGCTGGGGCCCCTGTCTTTTGGCAAGGCCAGGTGTGTTTGGAGCAAACCACTGCAGTGCCCTCTTTATACTAGTCAAGAGGGCAGGTAAGGTGGGGTGAAGGCCCCAGCCCAAGGGTTTTGGTTCTTTGACACCAAAGACTACCTTGGCCGGTGTCCTTCCCGCACCCACCCACCCACCTAGGTGCACTGACTGGTCAAGTGCTGCTGGTGTGCCTGCCTCCCTTGTCTCAGATGCACACCAAGCATCCTGAGCCGCAGGCACATCCCGCCACGCTTGACAGGAGCTCTGAGATCTTCTCTCATCTTCCCTGCACATGCCCTCAAGTGATCTGTCCCAATTGAATCTGGAAACCTGATCTGGACTAGGGTTTCGGGCTGCTCTACGAAGAGCTATGAATCCCTGAACCGTTCTGAATCTGGTATCTGAGAGTCAAGTGTGTGGGATTCCCTGTTGTTGTCTAGTACATTGGACTATGTATGTGTCTTCTAGGGCTGTGACCCGACCCAGTGAGTTCAGGGCCGGCCCCGGGGCGGAATAGAGCCCTGAGCAAACCCAATGGCCTCTGAGAACTGCTCAGGGCCGACCAGGGCCGGTAAGAGAGTAGTGTGAAGGCATTTTTTGGGTGAAAAAAGGGTTGGCAACCCGGCCGGGTCAGGTGCCCAAGCTGCCCGAAGCGCCCACGGGGCCGTATTTAACCGGTATTGAACTGCATATGGATGCCCCGGGGCACGTACCGTCAGCTTCGTGAAAGTCGTCGGGCAGAGTCGGCCGGGCAGGGCCGGGATTTTCTTGTCTTTTATTATATTATATTATATTGTCTTGTCTTGTCTTGTCTTGTCTTGTCTTGTCTTGTCTTGTATTGTCTTGTATTGTATTGTCTTGTCTTGTCTTGTCTTGTCTTGTATTGTATTGCATTGTATTGCATTGTATTGTATTGCATTGTTGCATCTTGTGCTGTTGCATCTAGTGTTGTATTGTACCATACTGTACCATCTTGTCTTGTCTTGTCTTGTCTTGTCTTGTCTTGTATTGTCTTGTATTGTATTGCATTGTATTGTATTGTATTGTTGCATCTTGTGCTGTTGCATCTAGTGTTGTATTGTACCATACTGTACCATCTTGTCTTGTCTTGTCTTGCCTTGTCTTGTCTTGTCTTGTCTTGGCTTGTCTTGTCTTCTCTTGTCTTGTCTTGTCTTGTCTTCTCTTGTCTTGTCTTGTCTTGTCTGGTCTTGAGGCATGTTTAGCGCCTACGTAAGGTCACCGGCGTCTGG